GGGGCAGCTTTGCTCTCAGCAGCTCTGCTTTGGGCTCAGTAAGGGATCTCTGGCTTCCAGCCACACCAATTCCAAGCCTCACTCTCCCAGTCACTCTAACCCCAAATGCAACAATTTCTAAGGTGCTGTTTCATTCGTCCTCTGTGGAACTTCTAAGCATTAATTAACACTAAATATTAAGAAGTCGAGTAAGTCAGGTGCACTGGTCTGCCCTGGCTGAGGAAAAGTCATATCCACCTGCAGGAAATGTTGCAGGGGGAAACAGATGCATCTTGGTGATAGGAGATGGGAAGGGGATGTTAGGTCATTAATTACTTAGCCTTGCATAAACAAAACTTAATATTTTGAAAAGTCTCTAATTTAAAGGGAAGGAAAAATCTTTCATCTTTTGTGCTATTTAACTACATGTCAAGTTGGGTCAATTAGGAAACTTCTGTGTTCATTCTTGCTTTATATATTGATTACTCCTCCATGAACTGTTCCAGTGCACTGAGCACTGGGCTAGTTTCAAATGGGAGAAGAGCTAAGGGGAGCTAGACTGCTAAATCCATGATCCTGGCCCTCTGTATTCCTTCTGGTTTCTCTAGGGAGGATACAGGGGCAATTTGATTTATTTTTCTACAGGTTAAAGCTTATTTGATGGCTGTTTGTTGGGGACTTAAGCTGGGATCTTTTCAGAAGTGGTATTTGCTTAGCCTGCTAATTTTTCTCAGTTAAAAGAGAGGATTTGGTTGAAACCAAGTGTGGTGAATAAATGTTCAGGGTTATCATGAATGTTGGTGGTTGTGTGGCATTTTGGTTTTTTTCCTCTTTTAACTCTCTTCTTTCCCCTTTTTCCTTCCATGTCTTTGTAAAAAATGAGAAGCTGGTAAGTTTGTTTGGTCCAAAACTAATTTAGAATGGAGCAGTTCAGTCATGGGAAATTGCAGTTCATCCTTTTTTTACAATATAAACTATGAACTCAAATTTTACACTTTGTAGTGCTTTTACTGAAGCACTAGACAGCTTCCAGAGAGCAAGCAAGCACTGAACATTAATTTGTGGCATCAGAGCCAGGTTCTTCCAGCTGCTTGGCAATGGTGCACTTGGGCTTTTCTGTGGTACTGCTTTTTTACTTTTTTAATTGGCTGGTAGTATTTATTAAACAACGTACTCTGAGAAATTGCTGAAGCTCCTTGCAGTAGATCTAGGTAGTTTTTTTCTGGAGAGCTGGATGGTGGAGAGTCGAATTTCCACACAGGAGGCCCTTGGCAAAGATTTATCTTCGTGTGCTCGGTGCAAATGTAAGGCTGCTTGTGTATATTTTCTGTGAAATGTTATAAAGTTAAGAAAGATTGTTTTCCCAATACAGCCTTAAAGCTGAAATACAGTCACATTCCAACATAGCAAATCTGCATTTTGTGCATAAATTACTTAAATATCTAGGAGTAGTGAAATATAATGCTGTTAAACATGTCAAATGTGATGATTAAGTGACTGGATTGTTAGGAAGAAAATAGTAATTTTCTGAAAAGCTAAATGAATGATTTGGCACAATGAACTGCAAACACTACCAAAAAAAAAAGAAAACTGAGAAAAATTTGCTGGTGGAGGATCATGTTTGTAGGCAGTTGGTATTAAAAACAAGAGTAAAAATATTTCAGATTTTCTCAACTTAATTGACAAACTCATTTCTTCCCCTGACATTATTTTACCTGCTGACAGCTGAGTGGGTGGCTCAGTATGGCTGGGATCTCACATCACTAATACAGTGGCAGTCACTGCTGTAAGCTGATTTCTTTGCGGTGCTGAGACTGTGAAATGCTTCCCAGGATAAACTGCTGCTCTGGAAGGACTGGACTGGAGCCTGAGTAACTGGATTGGGGATCAAGGAGAAAGTTCTGCCTTCTGGATTACTCACTGCATGTTCTGTGGACACAAGAAATGCTGGAGCCACTTGAGACAAATTGTAACTCAGTGGCACTGAATTAGTGTAGACAAAGAGGTTTTTTGAACATCATCATTGCTGCTGCTGATGTGTGTAAGGAAGGGAGAGATCAGTTTGACTCAAAGCCCACGCTAAAATTTTTGAGTTAGCTGTTTTAAAGAATTGTCTTATTGGTAGACTAAGCAAACTTGTCTGTCAGTGTTTTTATGTTAATAAACATGTAAACCTTGTCTGCCTTTTTAGAAGCACTTCGAGAAAGGCCCTTTAACCCTCTGTAGAGTACACTGTGGAACCTCAGCTAGGCCAAGGATAACTTTCCTTTGATCACAAAATGTGTTCTTCTGAGCAGTGGTAACATGAAATAAAAAGTGAAAAAACCAGAAATAAAAAAAAAGTCAAAAGCCTTCTCAATATTATTCAAACTTAAACTAAACTGTGACTTTGATGTTCTTGGGCTTCACGTAGAGTGCTTATTGAAGCCTTTCTCTGTATTGTTAGGTCTGCACAGAGCTGTGGTCCAACCCCTGGCCACACCAATAAAAATAGTTTGGAGTAGCAGTTAACCCATAACTGGTTTTGCATGTTGCTTCGTGCTGTAATTTGAGACGTGGTTAATCTTTCTGTGTGCTCCCTTGCTGAAAAGGGTGGTCTCTGTGAGTCAGTGATCAATGCAATGCCAGCTGTATTAGGAAGGGGATAGAGGGATCTTTCTGTACAGTCAGGTGTCCACAGGATGGTGGTGGAAAAGGAGGGCAGAATCCTGGTGGTCATCTCTGTCCTCATGCACAGATTGGTGTCTTGCCTGAAGTTCTGTCCTGTCCAGAGTGCTCTTGTGCTAAATCCCTGCCTTGGTGTTGCTGGGGTCATATGATCTGAGCTGAGTGATTCCTCAGGGGTACCAAGTGCTCCCATAGGGCACATAAGGGCTCTCCAAGGGCTGTGTGGGTGCCCAGCCTGGCAGAGATCAGCAGGAGCCACAAAGCACGCTAGAAATCCACAGCAAGCCACCCCAGGAGGGCTTCAGCTCCTGCACAGTCTGTCTGCATTTCCTGTCCTCTCCTGCCCTTCTGTGCTCCTAGCCCAAAAGGAGATGTCAGTGTGTTAGTGGAAACTTATGCAAATACAGCTTGCAGAGCTGACCAGAAGCCTGCCTCACATTCTCAGCTTTCCCTGCTGATTATGGCTTGTGCCACTGGAGCCAACCACATCATCATCCGTCAGATTTATTCATGCTCCTGAAGTTCCACAAAGCCTGCTTTACCAGCCTGCCTCGTTCAAAGCATTTGGCCAAAGAACTGCTGCCACATTAGCAGCAAAAGACTCAACAAGGAGAAGGAGGACCCATTGCTGGCAGGAGTGGGGGACCCAGTAACAGTAGACCCCAAAAAATTCTGAGGTTCTCCGTGCTTCTGGTTTTGCCTCAGTCTTGAAAACATGGACACCCGTGGCCTCGTGGTGAAAGGGATCAAGGAGGAGAACAGCTGCCAGCAGTAGATGAGGGTCGAGTCAGGAGTGACTTTAAAGAACCCATGTGAGTCCCTGGAGCCAGATGGGCTGCAACCAAGGGTGATCAGCAACCCCTGGGATCAAGAAGCAGAAGACAAAAGCCAGCTTTTTTCTGGTGAAGTCTGTGTCTCATTTTCACGGGTGTACCAGTATCTCTGTGTTCACTGCTTGTGCTTCTTTGAAACTTCATTGCTCTGGGTGGAAATTGTGGCAGAGGTGTGGTGTAGGTACATTTTGTCACTCCAGACTTATGTTCTGAGCAGCGTGATGTTGACAAAGCACAAGAGGCAGCATCATTACTTGATGCAGAAATTGCATTGCAGTGTCCAAGTTGTTTCTGTTTCTGGAGTTATTTGTTGTGACTTCTTAAACATCATCATTTTTAGATAGTTGCTTCTGTTGTTTATAATTGAAAAGGCTAACTTGCTACTGACTAGAGAAATTGTTTTTTGATTTGAAGGCGGTTTTAGGGTAACTCCCTCTCTGTTCTAGGGAGCAGTGATACCCTTTCCCACATATACATACCAGTAAGGAAGTTTTTGCATCTGCAGCTGTCAGGAATGTATTTTGGCTGATGAATGCAGCCTAGCTTAAAGGCGGGATCCCATAGTGGGTCAGTTAAGCTTTATTGGTCTGCCAGACCAGATTATCATTTTATTTAACCAGAGGAGTAGTTTTCATTGTTACTTTATTGCCAAGGGTGTGTCAGCATTTCCATTATAAACCCCCTATTTTCAGGGATTTGTGTAGACTTGAGATGTAAGTGTTCTGGTCTAAAACTTGGCAAGCATGTTCTTCGTTCACCAGCGGATATTTTCTTTATGAGATTTTAGAACGGTCAGCTGTTTCTTAAATTGTAGTGAAGACAAGAGCGTTTTTTCCTCTTGGTTAAGCAGATAGGACTATTTTTTCCACCTCATTTATTGCAACTAGATTTATGAAAAATAATCCCCTATTCTGCTGTTTAAGAAAGGAAGAAAGGGGGAGGAGAAAAAGGAGTATCTTCCTGCTACCCTGTTCTGTTTGCCATGCCTCAAACCCTTCCCTTTGGTCTGTGTTTGGTGAAGTCCCACCCACCCTTCTCTCCTCCTCTTTACTTATTTCCCTTCAGTGTATTTACACTCTCACTGCATTAAGTTGCAGAGTTTGTTCTCCTTCCTCCATTCCTCCTCTTTGCTTTCCTGTCTTGTGCTTTCAGCACTCGATCCTGATAAATCTGCCTGTATTACCTTTCTCTAAAAGGCAGCTCTGAGGTTCTCTTAAGTGATACAACATACCTGTGGTAAATAGAAATTTTATACCTAACTATATATATTAATATACTTTGCTACTTAACTGAAGAACACGTGCATGACTCTTAGTTGAGTACTGCAGTTTTTCATTGCTTTTCTGAGACGTTGCTGTGTCTCTAGAGCAAAGTACTTTCACATTCCTTTTTTTTTTTTAACCAAATCTTTAATGTAGACTGAAAAAAGTGAAGTGTGATTGGTACAGAACAGCACTGTGGGTTTTCATTGCTGAGCTCTTTTAGTCACTTCCTGACAGCTTGGTGGAGAAATGTGACAGTCCAGGAAGCGATAGCAAGCTCAGCAAGGCTTCATCTGCTGTTAGAAGTTGGTGTGCTACAGGTGAGGGCACCTCCTTCTTGTGGAGATGTAGGAATACCTGGTTCTGGGATTGGTGCTCAAGGTCTTCAGGAAGAGCCTCTGCTGTTTTGCAGTTCACAGCCATGAACAAAGTAACTGGAGATGTAAAATGGTGAGTGAGGAACTACAGCTACGTGACTACTAAGCAACGAGGAATGTAAGTGAAGCGCTGGAAGCCAAAGGGTGGAAAATGAGTGCTTTCAAAAAGCATCATAGTCTTTCTCCCAGGACCTTCAGAAGATCTTTGTCAGAACAAGATGCTGGCCCAGCTGCCTTGAAGGACTACCACTGGTACCACCAAATGAAAAGCAAGAAGTTGAATAAACAGATGAGTTTTGACTCAGAGAAAACTCTTGGAGCGTACAGGTGGCCAACACATCCTTGGCCTCCCTGGAGGGTGAGCAGAAGAGCGGGCTCCTCCGGTTCGAAAGGGGAATGCAGTGACCCACATCTTGGTAAAAGTTCTGCGAGCATGGATGCCGACAGTCTCCAGGAAGACCCCCGTGAGCCGCTGTTCCCGACGAGGAGCCGGCCGTCGCGCGTTCCCTTCAGCCGCTCGCTGTCCGAGCCCGCGCGGCCGGCCCTGCAGGCCGAGCAGCAGGGCTTCTTCATCCACAGCATCTTCTCCTCGCTCTCCAGCGGCTTTGCAAAGATCGTCAGCTGGAAAGGGGAGCCTGTCAGCGAGTCCATAGCTGAAGGGAAAACAGAGGACAATCAAAGTGTTGTGAGTGCAGGTAATGAGCTCGCTTTTGTGTTGTTCTGTTTGTGTAACAGGTGAGTGTAGTGAGACGCACCATAATTGTTTAAACTGTTGTGTAACTTGTCTTTATTAACAGTGATGCTCTGCTGCTCTGTCTTAACTTTTAAAAACCAACTGAAAAAAGGTTCTTTCCTGATGAGGAAGTGGTATGAGATGTTTCGGTGTGTGCTTTAAAACTCAGAGATCCCTTTAGAACAAGCATCACCTGATGGTAGCAGTAGCATTTCCTTCTCAAGTGTGTGGTATTTGCAGTCCTGCAGGCACAGTATCCTCTGTGCTGCTGTGCTGCCCTGATTGAGATATCAAGCCTGCTCCTGTCAGTGAAGTACCAGGGAGAGAGAGAAATTAAGCTGTCTTTTAAACAGAGTTCCAGACAGCAGAATGGATCTAGCTCCTCTTACCAGATTCTCCATTTCGTAATCAAGCAACTGGATTGGTGTCTGCTCTCTGGTAGATGCCAAGGACAGGCATGTTGCAAGGGTTTAGCCAGCTGGGATTGAGGTCAGCAAGATGCCAGTATGAGATTTCATTTAAATCTACCCTGCTGATAACACTATTAAGGCAGGACAGGGAAAAAAAAAAAGGGGGGAAAAAGAGGATAAGCTTGCCTTTTTTCTCAGGCTTTTCTGAAACTTTCTAGCTGGGCTACACAGCTTGACCCTGGTAACTGATGATACCTGGAAAAAAATCCACAAAATTTATTTTGGGTTTTATTACAAATTTAAACTTTCCTTCTCCCCAAAACCTCAGCACTTTCCAGAGTCCTCCAGATTATCATATTAAAAACCTGATAAAATCTGGATACAGCTGAGGCTGCTGGACAAGTCATCAGTGTTCCAAAAAATTCAGCAGTAGTAGTGAAAGAAGAATATAATATACTATGTCTGTTCAGTCTTTCAGTCACAGGGAAATGTCCCTGACAGGCTTGTGTTTGCTATTGGAAGCTGTCACGTTGCTTTAAAACAAAAACAAATTACCAAAAGGAAGAAATAACCAAGAAGGACTATATCTGTTCAAGCCTATTTATTTACAATCACTGGTTCATTTCTCCAAGACCTTTTTCAATAGAAATTTGGCTTGATGATGCTTAATGGATTGCATGGAACACATGAGGGGGTAAAAGAAAGTAACAGGACTACTTTTCTTCTTTTTTTTTCTGTTGAGCTTTCTAATTAAGGAGTTAGTTGAGATTTTTCTCTCACCTGTATTTATTCAGATTAGGAACAAAGGTTTCTACTACAGGCTCTCACTGTTGTTGAGACCTTCTGGGAAGGTATTCTATGTGATTATGAGCATTTTGGATCAGGATGCCACAGTCTGTGAAGGGCTGAGCATCCTTCTTTCCTCTGTTTTGGTGCTCTTTGATACCAAATGGTTCTCTCATAACTCACAAGTATTGCCAGTCTCTGTGTTATTGGGATGCTTTGCTTTTTAGTAGTGTGTAAAGTAAACAAAGGAAAAGGATTATTTGTGAGAAGGCACCACTTGGTAAATGTTTCATGTCAGCTGTGGTACAGTGACAGAGCCTTTTGGCTTTTTTTTGGGTGGGCCAAACCTCTGTCTGCGCCTGCCAAAACTGGTTTTGCAAAGGGAGTAAAATTCAGGAACTGAGAGAAAAACAATGGGTCTCTAGATTAAAAGTCAAACTCTCTCGAGGGAGGAAATTGTAGCTGAGAAGGTGTTTGGGGAAATAAGTTTGATGAAGTCACCCATTAAATCACTTGCAATAGCCAGGTCCTGCTTGGGCCATTTCACAGGAAAACAGAGCTTTTGGTGGGATGGAAAAATGCCTCCATGGGTTTCTTTTCACCCTTTGCCATCACAAACATTCTATCTCTGCTCCCTCAGGTGGATGACAGCTTGTGTTTAACAGAACTAGTTCACCCTGTAAGAGGTGCAGCTGTGTGGGATATACAGTCGGAGGACAACTAATTGCTCTCCACTGGTTTTATTTTTTCTTAAAGGAGTGTTGCCTGTGCTGTAATTAGCTGGAGCTTCTGGGGAGAGGCTCCTGTCCTGTGCAAGACTGCAGGCTGAGACCTGCTAAAACTGTGGTAAAACTTGTGAACTCCTGGGGTTTAGAGCTGAGGTCTGAGGCAGGTGACTTGAAGATAAAAGGGTGAGGGATATGTACATCTGTCATGTTCTTCAACCACAATCTAGAAGTTCAGAAGGGATCAAATCTTGCATTCTTCCACATGAGTTTAATTCAGTGGGGGTCACTGAATTATCCTCTGACTCTTTTGGTGCTTGCATGGGCAAAGGGTCTTTCCATGCCTACAGTGCTGTTTATTGTTCAAGGAAAAATGGAGAAAAGGGATGTTTTCCTCTCCTCAAGAAGCAGAACTTGGTAATCCTCGTGCAGCTGAGATCTGTGGTAAAAGTGCTCAGGCACTCTAACCACAGGATGGTGTGAGACGTGGAGTTTCTCCAAAGTATGCAAACAGCTTTACACAGAAAAGCGTGATCAAAAGTGCCCCAGGAAATGTCTGTTTGGACAGAAATTCTTGTGACAATGACTGAAACCCAAGAGACCTTTTCTGTGTTGTGAAATACACAGTGGGAGAGGCACACTTTGGACTTGAACCAGGAGAACCCAGGGGTGTACGTTCCATCTCTCTTCTGTCCACAAAGCCAAGTCCTCTACTTCCACAGCCTCACTAAATTAAAAGTATTTCCACTTTCCTCTGAAATACTTGGAGATTATCAACTTTTTCAAAAATTTGTCTTCCTTCTAATGCTTGCCTGGCCTCTTGTGTTTTGCTTCATCTCTGTGCCAGAATGGCAGAATGGTTCCCTTTTCAGGAAATGTTTAACTCCCAAAAGAGGACCAGTTGTTTTTATGGCAGCTTGAAGAGGGAAGTGGGATTTAAAAAGAAAAGAAAAAACAAGATCTGAGTAAATATTTTCCAGTTGGTCTCACAGTCTAGGAAGCATGTTCAGACACTGTTTCATCAGTTCTTGGCTGTGCAAATCCCTCCTGCATGGACTCACTCATCCTCTTAGGCGATGAAAGGATGCTGAACCCCAGGAGAGCTGCGTCCTTTGGCTCTGCCCAGAGCCTTGGCTGGATGCAGAGCCTCCCCGAAGTGCATGGCAGGCTTTGTGCATCCCCCTACAGCGTGGGTTTGGGGAGAAGGGCACAGATGGAGTGGACCATCAGCAGGAGTAGCAGAGCTCTTTCCTGGTGTGCTGCGTGGATCTTCCCAGGAGCAGCCTGGGCCGGGTTTGGGTGTGAATGAAGAGCTTTTGGTGCATATCTGCTGATTTCTAACCACTCCTAGGGCCAGGCATTTGGAACCAGCATTTCCCCTGGCATGTGCAAAGCCTGAAGGTAAAAGGTCTTATACTCACTATTATTATTATTATTATTACTGTTATTTACTATTATTATTTAACACTTTTAATGTGTTGTAATTAGGAAATAGTTGACTTCTGATGGTAATAGCGTGAATTATAGCATCTGTATTGTCTCACCTTTCTCATGAGACTGAAAATAGAATAAAATTTTTCACAATGCCTCTCAGTTGCCCCATCTCTGGGTCAGGAAAAGACTTAATCCGGCAATTTACTACTTGAGGAATCTAAGAACATATTAATTTCTATTAAATATGTTAGCTTGAGGAAGGAGAAGTGCCGTTCTGATAAAGTTGTTGATTGAGAACATACCATGATATGGGTAGAAAGAAGAAGATAAGGAAGGAGCTATGCAGACAAAGCCTTGGACCCAAGGTTGAGAATAAAATTTTTCACAACGCCTCTCAGTTGCCCCATCTCTGTGTCAGGAAAAGACTTAATCCAGCAATTTACTACTTAAGGAATCTAAGAACATATTAATTTCTATTAAATATGTTAGCTTGAGCTTAATCCGGCAATTTACTACTTGAGGAATCTAAGAACATATTAATTTCTATTAAATATGTTAGCTTGAGGAAGGAGAAGTGCCGTTCTGATAAAGTTGTTGATTGAGAACATACCATGATATGGGTAGAAAGAAGAAGATAAGGAAGGAGCTATGCAGACAAAGCCTTGGACCCAAGGTTGTGGGTGAGCAGCTGCACCTGTTCTTATTATTTCTGAGTATTACCAGTGACCCTTTCACACTCTTGAGAATGGGTTTGTGAGAGAGTTCTCAGATAACATTTATTTCGCTGTTGCTTATCTGGATCTCAGGGTGGTGTGTGTTTAATTGTAGACTGATGACAAAATAATCCTCCAGTAGAATGCCTTACCTATATCTTCCCTGGGTATCTCTGGTTTGGTTTGAGGGGGTGAGGGTAAACACTGGTTTCTTTTACTTAGTGTGTGTTTGGTTTTCACAATCACTCTCTTGTTAATGTTTTTTCTTCAGCATTCCTTCCTTCTCTTTTGTCACCTGGATAAAGATATGTCTCTTCAGTCTTTTAATTTTGATTTCAAGCTTTCATTCATTTTATAGAGGATTTGTGCCTTGAGTGAGAAATATTTTATATCCTTGCTTTTCCAGAAGTGCTTGGGTTTTTTTTATAATTCACTAAAGTAATTTGAACTCTATGCCTTCTTTAAGATCTTTACACTGTAGGTTTATTAAATTACATTTCATACATATTTCCATATAAACTTATCTAGAGAATTGTATTTTCCCATTTATAACTCAAAACCAAGGCAGTTCGCTGTTTAGTTTCTTTCAGCAATTCCCAAAATACAAAGCTGTTTCTTCCTGAGTAGGAATTTAGTATTTATTACTCATTGGAGCAGCTTTTCTGTATTCATGTTTTTAAAACCAGTTGCTCATTTTAGAAGCCCTTCTACTGACTCATGTTCCTCCACTCCCAAATCTCTCTTGCTCTTAAGTAGTTTATTTTTGGTGGGGTTTTTATTAGGGAAGTTTTACACAATTGAGCTTATTCAAGTGTTCCTTTAAGTGCTGTGCAAATGCCTTGTGCTGTGAAACCTGATGTTGTTGTGGAAAGGTGTAGTCTTAATATTCCAACT